GAAGTGCTAGGAAAGACAATATACAGTTCCACTACACATTGTCAACTTAACAAGTTGCAGGTGAAAGAGACCTTAAAATACTGTGCCAGATAACAAGATCGCTATCCGGGAAGAGATTAACTTAAATGAAATTAATGAAGGAAACGTAATTATCAAAGGAAGGTAACAAAGTAAGCGTTGGACTGATCACTTTATAGGAGTCCTGAAGCGACCATCGCCCGCAACTCGTCCGGAACTACCAGCAAAAGCTCATGACAGTGAACAGCAGTCCTCCGATAGTGGGATAAATCCTGAATGGCATGAGGTTACTGAAAGCCAGTTTGGAGGGTAGCATGATTAGACGGAATTCCTTCAGAAGTACTTGAAATAGATTCACAGACATCAGCGGGTATTTTCGAACCACTATTCCAGAAGGTATGGAAGAAAGGCGAGGTACCCACAGAGTGGAGGAAAGGTTAGTTTTTCAAATGACCAAAGGGAGGTGGCCTATGTCTTTGCAGGAAGTGGTGCAGAATCATGCTCCTTTCTACACTCTGTAGAGGGACTTAAAGATACTTTGGATACAAGGACAATCTGAGTTCAGAAAAAGAGGATCAAAATAAAAACCTACACGTCACCATCAAACAGTGCATGTATTAACGGTCAGCCTTTAACCTCAACCTCATTGACTTTGTAAAGGACTTCACCAGCGTCAACCGAGAAGTGATTTTGAAACTGTCTTAACACTACGGAATACTCAAACCCTTGACAACATCATTCAAGAGTGATATGATGCCACTTGTCAAACAATTCACAACAGAAAGTTGAACGTAGCCTATAAAGTGAAGACAGGAGTAAGACAAGGTTGTATACTATCAACAATGATATTTCTGACTGTGATTGCTGCAGGCTGTGCTAAGCAAGAAAAATGGCATAAGTTGGACCTGCAAGACGACTCTAGAAGATATAGACTTCATGGATGATCTGTGTCTCATGCCTCAAAAACTCAGAGATCTACAGTGAAAAAAAACCAGAAGCTGGATGAAAAGAGAGAAGTGATGAAGATACCTAAAGAATAATAATAAGCGTCAGTTATTAAAGATGGGAGAGATTCGAAAGAGGTAACTTCTTTCACTTATCTGGCTAGGCAGCATCGTTTCAAGTACAGGCGACACACATGAAGGTATTGAAGCCAGAATCGGAAAAGCAAGATAGACCTTCGTCGTTCTAAAATCAAATGCAATCAGGGTGTAGAACAAGATCTGAAGTTTCAACAGCAATGTTAAGTCATTTATTCCATGTGGTTCAGAGACTTGGTGAGCTCATCACGGATAGCATTTACAACAAGCTGTAGACTTTCAATAGCAGCTACCTTCTCATGTTACTAAAGATCAGATGAACATTTAACAATTTCGAGAGTCTAATTCCATTGTATCCACTCTCAAAGATCCCTAACACCTGTATCTGATATCTTCACCTTCCTTCGCCTAATCTTTAGTGTTCTTCTAATCCTTGGACTAACTAGTAAACTGGTGAACTTGTGAACTAGAAAAGGCTGCAGTACATTTAAGAGGACAAGTATTGTTGACATCAGGTGCAGACTGTTAGGTAAGTAGAGCACGCTGATCTATGAGGCTGAGAATAGTCTCCACCTGAGCCTCTATCTCTCTCTCAACAGGCAGTTGTGGCTGAAGTACATATACAAAGTGAAACATACCACGGATTCATAGACTTGTTTACTATTGTTCAGATTCAGTTAGGAGCTGTATGCATAAGATTCATGTGATGTTAGGAACTTATATTTGGTAACTTTAAATGATTTCGTTATCATTATTATTATATTATTATTGTTCCCTTGGGTTTCTAGTGCAACATAGGGCTTTAACTGCACGTCTCCATTTGCTTCTGTCTTCTGCTGTAGTGTGAAGAGGAGTTGGGACAGTATGGACTAACATGGATGCAGGTGAAAAGTACAGCAGAAGGAAGACAGAAGTAAGTGGAGCCGTGCACTTGAAGCCCTATGTTCCACTAGTAACCCAAGGGAACAATAATAATACTAGTGTTATGAATAAATGTAATATGATAAGAATTAAGACGAGTGTTGTTAGTCAATAAGATGGGAAATAAGATGTTTTTGTAGTGCAATAAATAACTTGTTAGAGTTTTATAATGGACACTGAAATGAATTTTAACATTATTTATTATTCTCTGATTTGACTGGTGATAATAATATCTTCCATATCTCTCGTATTTGCGTTGATTCACTTGTATTGCATGTATTGGGTGTAGAGTCGATGAATAAGGATTCAGCAATCAGTCTCTCTCTCTCTCCCCTGATCTGTACTAGTTTTTGGAATTTTGACTCTGTCCAACCCACCCTATTGTGTGGTTGTGTGTTAATGCATGCAGTGCGATTGCTAAGCTTTTCCTAAATTATTTATCAGTCATTCTAACCTTAACTAAATTCTTATCCTCTAACAATCTGAATATTCCGATCTACTAGTTTGACCTACGTAGCTGACTTAACTCACAGTCATTGCAAGGTTATTTTGTAAATTATTTTGTTTAATTGGGTTAACCAAAAGGTTCCTTTAACCTACAGAGCTTGTTCCTGGATGAGTCTGTAGGCTTAAATGTCATCCTAATTCCTACTTTATTAAGAATCTTACATAGAGTCTCAGATGTCCCGTCCTGATGTTGTAAAATGGTAGATGCCTTATATTCTTTCTTACTTATGTTATCATTATACTAATTTCACAATTATTTTTATTTTACTTTTGACCTGTTTTGATCTTCTTAATGAATTATGTAGGGTAGTTATTCAACACTAACGCTTCTTCTTCTTATTTTGTCTGGTTCATTTATTAATTTAGGTTTTTGGTGTATCGAGTTGTATAATATTTGTCTCAGACTGATTGTCCTAATACACTTGTACTCTTTTATGCTGCTGTCTGCATTCTTTCAGGACACCAAACCTTTTTATGTCCGTTAATATCATGAATTAATTAGACCCTCCTTATTCATCTTTTTTATGTTGTTTGTATGTTAGACTTTAAATAAACGATAAACTTCAGTAGATGCTTTAAAAAAATAGTCCTGTGTTTTATCACACCATCTCGTATGATAATGCTTTCCTTTGTGTTACAAGTACAACATAGGGCTTCAAGCTTTGAAGTGTCAGTAGCGATGATACCACTATTTCTACGATGCACACTAGCTAGTCTTACATTCAGTCTTCGCTGCATTCTGGGTATACTATCTGCTCGGTGAGGTTTTCCAGGTGCGTCCGTATGGAATCGAACTTGGACCACTTTATTCGCTGGAGGGCATTCTACTACTGAACACAACGTGGTATATTCATTTAGGTTTTTCTTATTGTTATTTTTGTGATACGACTGTAACAACTTTGAATGATTCGAACAAAGAAAGAGGAAACATTGGCGCAGAATAATTTGAATCCATTTTATTTCGTTGGTTCTCATCAGCTGCATACAACCTGAATTCTTTAATAAAATGAAAATGTATACTTTTAACAAACTTTCGTCCATTAGCAAGCATATTGTCAGAGAGTCATAGTGAAATAAGATATTGCAATTTACAGGGTGTCTAAGGTGTTAAGACATATATATATATATATATATATATATATCTTGTCAGAGAGAAGTTTCTTGAAAAAATTAATTAGCAGTTGTGTTGTTGGGGTGGTAAAAAGAGAAAATTAGCATTAGTTAAGTAATCAGATAGGAGAAAATCAAAATTTAAAATTTCAGTGCACATGAGGTCAGATGAGAAGTTGATGATGTAATACAGTGAGCAGAACTCGGAAGATCAAGAAGGGACCGAAGTGTTTAAGCTCTTCAATTGCTAAACACCTGATTGACGCAGGACACCGAGGAGATGTGCTGGAATCATTCAAAATAATTAACAGACAAAGTACCTCTAGTCTTCTCAGGTTTGCTGAAGCTATAGCAATAAAACGATTGAAGCCTGACTTATGTGTCCAAAAAGAATCCGTTGTAGAACTTCAATTACCCTAGTGACCCACTTCTTAGTAACTTTTTGTTTTCTAATTTTGTTAACTTATCTTTTCCCTCCCCCAGTATCTCTCACTTGACTCCCTTAAGAGATAACTTCTCTTGATCTTCTGAGTTCTGCTCACTGTATTACATCATCAACTTCTCATCTGACCTCATGTGCACTGAAATTTTAAATTTTGATTTTCTCCTATCTGATTACTTAACTAATGCTAATTTTCTCTTTTTACCACCCCAACAACACAACTGCTAATTAATTTTTCAAGAAACTTCTCTCTGACAAGATATATATATATATATATATATATTTATGATAGGATCCCACATATTTTGGTATTGACTGTTTAAACTTGCATTTATGGTATGTTGTCATTCTCACGCATTTTGGTAGTGACTGCTAATTTTGTATATCATCATTCTCACGCATTTTGGTAGTGACTGCTAATTTTGTATATATGGTATATAATCATTCCCACACATTTTGTTACTGACTGTCAATGTCGCACATATGGCATATTATCATTTCTCACACACTTTGTTATTGGCTATTAAGGTCAATTATTTCAAATGCTGTTAGCTGTCCATATTGTTGTAAAATGTATAAATACCATGGCTTTCTTTATCGTTGTTGCACCTCAATACACAGTCACAGTCCAGCCTTTGTCTTTTGATATTTGCGTGCTTTACTAAGTCGGAAGGTACGACGAGCAGATAGACAGATTAGTTCAGGCGCAGACAGAATAAGGTGAAAACATCTTCATTCAATACCCTACCGTTATAACAAATTGGCGACGGGGTTTACCTTAATTCAGTGCAGTTATAACAATTGGCGACGGGGTTTAATTCAATTGGCGACGGGTTTACTTTAATTCATTGCAGCTATAACAAGCAAACGACGACAGTTTTTATTCTGTTCAGCGCAACTATATAACATATAAGTTCAGGCGCAGACAGAGCAAGATATAACAAATTGGCGACGGGATTTACTTTAATTCATCGCAGTTATAGCACGCAACGACGACAGTTTTTATTCTGTTCAGCGCAACTATATAACATTTTTGACTGTGTTAATTACAACCCAATTATAATGTCTATCTCTCTGGACGATCTTCCGGTGACTGCAGTTGAGGTTGCCAGACACACACTGCGTGATCCAGTTTTACAGCAAGTATCAAAGTTCATCCGATTTGGCTGGCCTCCACATGTTCATTCAAATGTTTTAAAACAGTTTTACCAGCGACGCAAATCCCTATCCATCGTTAATGGATGCATAATGTTTGCTGATCGTGTTGTCGTTCCAGCTAATCTTCGTGACCATGTGCTTCGGCAGCTTCATATATCACATCCTGGTGTTGGGAGAATGAAGGCGATCGCTCGCAGTTATGTTTACTGGCCCAACATCGATGACCATATCGAAGACCTCGTTCGCAAGTGTAGTAAATGTGCTCAAGCATCAAAGTGTCCACGCAAGACAGAACTATGTTCCTGGCCACGACCGGACAAACCATGGTCCCGTGTTCATGTTGACTTCGCTGGACCGTTCAATAGTATGCATTTCTTAATATGTGTCGACGCGTTTTCCAAATGGCCAGAGATATTTCCTATGCATTCTGCCACATCAATTGCAACAGTGTCCCTCCTACGTCAACTATTACTGAACGTTTCGTCGACACCTTTAAGCGTGCTTATGCAAAAGCGAAGGGGGAGGGAACAACAGAAAAAATTTTGGATAAATTCTTGCTGCATTATCGTACGAATGAAAAAGGACAGTTATGTGGCAGACACACAGATCACGCTCTATCCAGTACCACGCAAAGGTCAACTCGACAAAGAAGAGCTCCGAAACCTTTTCAAATAGATCCAAAAAGCAAGTCCTACACTCTTTACGGGGGGAGGTGATAGGATCCCACATATTTTGGTATTGACTGTTTAAACTTGCATTTATGGTATGTTATCATTCTCACGCATTTTGGTAGTGACTGCTAATTTTGTATATTATCATTCTCACGCATTTTGGTAGTGACTGCTAATTTTGTATATATGGTATATATCATTCCCACACATTTTGTTACTGACTGTCAATGTCGCACATATGGCATATTATCATTTCTCACACACTTTGTTATTGGCTATTAAGGTCAATTATTTCAAATGCTGTTAGCTGTCCATATTGTTGTAAAATGTATAAATACCATGGCTTTCTTTATCGTTGTTGCACTTCAATACACAGTCACAGTCCAGCCTTTGTCTTTTGATATTTGCGTGCTTTACTAAGTCGGAAGGTACGACGAGCAGATAGACAGATTAGTTCAGGCGCAGACAGAATAAGGGGAAAACGTCTATCATTCAAATCCCCTACAGATATAACAATTTATATGTCTTAACACCTTAGACACCCTGTAAATTGCAATATCTTATTTCACTATGACTCTCTGACAATATGCTTGCTAATGGACGAAAGTTTGTTAAAAGTATACATTTTCATTTTATTAAAGAATTCAGGTTGTATGCAGCTGATGAGAACCAACGAAATAAAATGGATTCAAATTATTCTGCGCCAATGTTTCCTCTTTCTTTGTTCAAATTTATAAATAGGAATCATTATTTGAAATTTCTGAATGATTCAATGAAAAAGTGTTCAAACGAATTAAAATGTCACTCGTTAATTTCAAGTTGAATACAGTGAATTACTACAATATGAATAGTTAAGTGTAGAAACCAAGAAAAAAAGGATACAGACTACATTTATACTTTATTCTGTTGTATAAAAATGCTACTGTTGTTCAATTTGCCTGTCTTTAACAATATCATGCATGAGTAGACAGCTGATGATTGATGAGTGTATAAATTTCATTCGATGAAACCATTTTAATTTATCATCACTATATGATATCAAATGATACCAAAAAATTCTCTACACTTATGATGTTATCACTTATTGGGATAATTCACCATTGACATTGCTTAGTCGTGTTTTATTTTCAATGACAAACAGAAAGAAAAATATTTTGAAATAATAAGGTTATATACCATGGGATCGAACTTGTGACCCCAAGATTATGAAGCAAGGATGTTACTACTTAACTAGGGGGTAGGAAATAAGTGTTCCTTGAGTACAGTATTGTTAGCATTTTCCCCAAAATGAAGACAGCTAGTCCTAATGAAGCAAAGAAATAGGGATAAGAGATCGAAAACATCGACCGAGTCAGGGAATTAATAAATGAAAATTCAGGGGAGAACATTTTTCTTATCAACAAAGCCACTAGTGTAATGACAGAAGACAAGTGCAAGGCGACATATTGTTTATTAAGAAAATCAAGAGGTATTTATAGATTTTCATGTACATTATTGTCAGCAGAGAAGCAGCGTCTTCTGGTTGATTGTTTTCTTGCTGAAGGTCATTCTGTACTGCTTGTGACCGTTTCTTAGGAAGTCAAGCCATATATCTGCGAATCATATTTGCACACATTTAGTCTGCTGTGGTTGGTTGCTGAGTTCCTAAGGGTTAAGCTTTGTTATCGTTTTCCTTATGACCCTGATTCCGGATGTAACACTGATGTAAACTGTTGTTTACAATTTTGGCTTGTTCGCAGCCAGCTATGGCCACACCAGTACATATAAAAGCAAATAATGTAATACGTAAGTCAGTGTTAAGTTCACAAGAATAGAATATTGTTAAGGCTGACTTTTAATGAAGTTGAAACTAGTAATAGTGTCTAACAGCACAGTGGGAGCTTTCGGGTTTAATCAATCAGCCTACAGAATACATTACTATCAAACTTGCCCCGATTAACAACCTTGTATACTTGAGATTGTATAGACTATGGTCTTCTTCTCCGAAGGCTTTTATGAAGCCGTGCGTTCATAGCTTTTCTCATTTATTACGTTCTCGTAATAATGGAAAGGCGAATGCAAGCGTGTAGAGCTTACAAACGAACTGGTATACAAGCAAGTCTACCGACTGGAACTAGAAAACTCTGATTCCAAAACTATGGGGTGTACTTCAGCTCCAAAATCTCAACGGATTGAATGGTGACCTGATTTGGTCAACGGAAACCATGGGAATGTAACTTTTGTTTTCATGTGGTTATATTCTCCATTCTGCGTGATTTAACTGTGAAGTTTCTACTGTTCTCTTCGACAACAACCCCAACATTTACTTCACTTTAGTGTGAATATTTTGGCATTTTCTATGAGTCATATAGTTGTCTCTCATGATGATCTTGACTGTGTTTAGTTTTCTCCTCAAAGGTTTTTTTGTTTTTGTGTTGACGTGATTTCCAGTCTTTCAGATAGAAAAGTTCCTAAAAGCCGAGTACACGGATCAAATTTTTCGGACACTAAGATATCTCCATAAATCAATCAATAAGGAACAGATTATTCATTTAGCATTCCATAAAATTTGTTTTACAATGAGGTCAGTGGTGAATATATTCCCTAGAAAGACAACAGAATCTTTATGACTGAAACATCCAGTTCGTACACACACACACACACACACTAGATACATCCAAAAAATTCAATGTTTGTTGATGTCCGGTTTGGAATGAAATGACTTCATAGATGGTGGACTTTATTAATCATAGATGTACAAAGTGAAATAATAACGGCTAATTGAACAGTTAGTAGTAAATAATCCAAATTATATTTATCCTTGTTTTGTTTAATTATTCCGTTTAACCAAAAAAATGGAAGATAGAAAACTTTTGTTCCCAATTTTCTAGTGCAAATCACGTATACTAGAATTTGTCATGTTTTGGTAGATGTGGCATATATATATATATATAATAGTACAATTTGTGATGCACATCCTTTTTTTTCTCTCTCTCTCCCTCTACATATTTTTTCAAAGGTACTGATTTATTCTGAACGATTTTATACCGACTAAAATTAGTTACATAATTAGTCAAAATTGTCCGGAATCTAGGTTTCATCAGTTTCATCACACATAGTCCTATCAAGGCTGAAATGATTTTAACGATTGATTGGAGGATTTTATCATTAGCTGTCAACATTTAGAGAACTGTTGGAAAGTCTGGGAGTACGGGATAACTGTTTCGTTCTACTTTGGGGCCGGCTCTTCAGCAATATGCACCCACCTCCAGGGTTCGAACCCAAAACCTTCTGATTACAAGGCTAGTGAGCTCGTAGTTCATTCAGCCATGGCACATGATTTCTGACTTCTGCCAATTCATGATATAACTAGGACAGCTAGGACGAAACAGCTGTCCAGTAGTCCGTGCAGATTTCCCAATGGTTCTCTAACTGATGTCAGTTCATGATGAAATCCTTCAACCAATCAAATCCCTACAAAAAACCAATACTAGAAATAATTTTCCTTAAGGGTAAAATAGAAGGAAAGTGAAAGGAATTTCGCTAAGGTTTGGAATAGGTTAAGTGATTCGTGTAGTAAAACATGATATATATATATATATATATATATATATATATATATATATATATATATATATATATGTATAAGCGAACTATATTATTTTCAATTAGATCTCCCTCAGACTACCCTCAAATGTACATTGCTTTATATATAAAAACGTTTAACAAATTTCAGTGATTTTTGGGATTAATTCGACATCTGAAAAAATGCACCATCCTTTATGGTTCAAAAAAGGTCAGAATAAATCGCTATTTAGCTCTGTTTTGCCTTAGGCGATTGATTGCAGTAACCAATGTAAAAGGACTAAACACTCTTGAGATTATCTACTGCATTTTACTCAACCTTTCCAACAGAATTCAAGATTGTCTTCTACAAACATCCGAAAATTTGGAAATTTTGGAGAAAAATCCTAATCTTTGTCCACAGAAGACTCCATCGCATTGGCTTAATGGTCAGCCAGCTCGCCTGGTAACCTGAAGGTCCCGGCTTCGATCCTTGAGGCTAGTGTCTTTGGTGCGTACTGTAGTGGTTACTGGCTGTTTCACTCAGTGACAAAGTTTCTCGTTACTGGCTTTTCCATTCTGACTGGCTATCTGATTTTCAATATTAAGGGAAAGAGTTACTACAGTAAGTCTGAAGTTTGCTGGAAATGCTTTAGGTGACGCATGCACCACGTCTCTGAATCATATAAAAGTACTTTTCTGACACGAGTACCACGAATTCGAATCTTGTTCCTTGTGTTTAGTGTTATAATGTGTATCTTCACACTGATTTCAAAGAAGTGAACGCCTGTCTTGACTTTTGGATCCTAGCTAGCTTTGACATTGCCATTCAATCTACGTGTAGTTGAAAGAATACTGTCAGGATTAGGATTATTGAACAGACAGTTTCCTTTAGATTTCTCCGATCGATCATGATTGGTAGTGAAGAATAAGCGATCACCTAGTAAAAAGAATGATGTGGTAAACTGTTATGCATATGGCACATCATATTTCCGAAAAATTATTCCTTTGCTGAATGAGTTGAGAACATTTCTAGCAGATTCTTCGGCTAAAGTAGGCTTAAAGAAAGTTTCCTCAGATGTAATTAGCCTAGCTCAGTCAATAGCTTCAATGTTATATTATATACTTTGACTTATTATCAACTTTATTGTTATATAATCGTGTAAGTATCACCTTTTCTATTTCTTCATTAATTATACTATAATTTTGAAAGCTGAGTGGTTAATACAAAAAAGAGCTAACCACAAATCGCGTCATTTGAACTGATTCATCTCTGTGAGATGAGTCAAGCTAGGTTTATCACTGACTAGCGTGGCCTGAAACGAACGAAACGGCCGTCTAGTATTTAGACCACTTCAGTCTAGCTAGCAAGTAGCACTAGTTGATTTGAGTAGTATACGACTACTCGTCTCAGTTAATCAGTAGTATATAGTTTTGTGCAATTTTGTTTGGCTTCTTAGCCACCATTTCTGGTATCAAGTTGATCACTATATATTGTGATCCAAATAATTTTGGTTTTCAAAAGAAACTGTGATGACATTTCACATCCTAGAACTGCGTACACTGCAGATTGCTAA